TTTTCCATTCCCCCCCTAGACTTTCACATCTTTAGATATACGCTGGAAACTTCTTGGTGACATGCATGGTGTTTATTTGGGTTATGCGTGTATATGCCCATTTTTTAATGTTGAGCAAGGGGTTACTCATCACCTCCTTGTGCAATGTCTTCAGGGCAGAGCTGGGCAACTTCCCTTCCACATAGGAACAACATTGACTCCTGTGCCATTCTCCAGCAGGTACACTTTTCATTACACAGTTGCAGCAGCTCTATGGTACAGCAAGTTGCCAGAGTATCATCCCGGATCACAGAGCGCTGTGAGATGGAGGAAAAGAGTGTATCGCTGTGGCTGCATCTGCACTGCAGAAATAATTCAGTCTGACACCACTTTAACTGCTATGGCAGAATGCTGTCGAATCCTGGGATCTGGAGTTTGTTGTGGCGCCAGAGCTCTCTGACAGAGAAAGCTAAATGTCTCACAAAACTACAAAGCCCAGAACTCCATAGCATTGAGCCATGACAGTAAAAGTGGTGTCAAACTGGATTATTTCTACAGTGCGGGTGCAGCCAGGGCTGTATTGCTTTTAAGGGCACTTTTGTAAGAGCTGGGCTACTTGTTGGTCTGGCTGTGATTTTGTTGGTGTTACTTGTGGCAGCTAATTTAGTAGGGGTGGGGTTGTAGAAAAAAGGACTCTATGGAACATGTGCCCCACAGACCAAATGTTGCCCAGACCTTTTTAAAGGATAAAATAGAAAATAAGCACATCAGAAAAAAAGGCTCTTAAAAACCTTTACAGCAACAGACTGTAAATATCTGCAACTATTCTGTTCTAATGGGGTTTATGGTACAATGGCTATTTGTACACAAGTTCCATTGAATTCAGCAGGGCTTACTCCCAGGTAACTGTTTATAGGATTGCAGCTTTAGTACACTAATATTAATTTGATTAGGGCCACAGTCGGGCTTTTTGCTATTTAGAGAGGCTAATCACACATAGGACGAAAAAACCTTAATAACTATTCTAGAGATTTTCCTCATTAATATTTCCTGATTTTTCTGTATGCCTTTTCTATAGACTTAGCATTAGTATAATAATACTTCACTGCTAATAACTGAATGTAGTAATTTCATTTTTGTCAAATTTTCTTGCCAGCAATTCTAGAGTGTGTGTGTGTATGTATAAAACATCCAGGAAAAAAGAGAAAAGTTGATATTCAAGGTAAGTTTCTCCCCTTTAAGCAAATATGTAATTAATTAAAACATTTGAAATGGAGCCAAAGGGATTTTAGTTTCTGTGGTTTTGAAGGAAATGATGATGAAGTTTTATTCTGATTATCCATGGCAAGAAATTAATTATGTCTTTCCTTGCCCTAATGATAATTTCACTGTGTGTTTATAGCCTTGGTTACTGGTATCGGGTTACTAGAGGAGGTTTCAGAGAGGTATGAAATTAATCTTGTTCACAAAAGGCTGAACAAGAAGCCCATAAAGATGATAACTTCACCACAAATTCTACCACACATTTTACTCTACAACTGAGAGCCCTGGTGGTGTAGTGGTTAAATGCCTGTACTGCAGCCACTTACTTGCAAACCATAAGGTTATGAATTCAATACCAGCCAGGGGCTCAGGCTCAACTCAGGCTTGTGTCCTTCCGAGGTCATTAAAATGAGTTCCCAGCTTGTTGGGGAAAATTAGCTTAACTTACACATTGTAAACTGCTCAGGGAGTGCTTAAGTGCACTGATAGGTGGTATAGAAATGTACTTGCTATTGCTAACCTTCTGTGATAACTCTTAGGCTATCTAGGTAAGCCCTCTACATGTTTAAATAGGATGTGAAAGGGTGAGGAGTGGGATTACATCCACAGACTATGCCTTCTTGATGTGAACATGAATACTGACCATGCCTCTTGATCAACATGCATTTGCTGTCAGTGTGAAAGGGAACTGAGCCACGTACAATTGGCCATCAAGATTCCCCATCCCACTGTGGATGTAGACGTCTGTATGTGTCTATATCCAGGACCATCCCTTCCATTAGGCAATGTGAGCCCAGCAGAGGGTCAGACCAACAAGGGCCATATGCCCTGTTCTGGCCACATGTCCCTAAATTAACGGTGTCTCAGATGTAGTGGAGGGTGTTATAATTTCACCACCATTGAAGATTCAGCTGTTAGTCCAGTCAGCTTCTCTATGTGGAATGGGACACATGCCATCCTGTCTTTTGCTACAGGTATGGAATTTTTTTTTCCATGCCGAAGGTAAACACACAGGCATTGGCACCATGGCCAGTGGGGACAATGTTTTGGTTCCCTATGATCTTCAGTGTTCAGGGATATTTATTTGAACAGTTCTATTCTCCTTTCCATATAGCAGAATGGTGTAGGCAGCAAAACTATGTGATGAGATAGTTTACAGAGAATAATGATGATAATAAGGATGAGGATGATGAGGATGATAAGCAAATATGGATAGAAAGAATGATTAGTATTTCATATAACCTTTGGAAGTGAATTCAGATATAATAAAAAATAAATAAAATTTATTTATATCCTGCCCTTTGGGGACCCAATCAGGCTGGCTTACAACAATAAAACCATACAATATATCCCAAAACACAATCCCCCCCCTTAAAACAGTATTAAATCAAATGAAAATTAAAACTACAAATTCAAACAATTAATTTTTTTTTAAACATTACAAAAAACAAGATTGGCCCAAGGCAATGTTCTTCATCCATCAGTAGATGGGGCC